GCACACATGTATTTAGAGCCGCTCGATCGGGCATCCGTCCGATATCTCTTCAACGAAATCTTTTGTGCCAAAGCTAGTCATTAGCATTTCTGGGTCTAGCCCTGTAACATTAGATTTCATTCCTTTCCTTCTCTACTAGCCGTTCAATCGCGCAGTAGCTTTAGGATTGAATGACTGGTAGAATTACCATACAGATAAGGATCACACATGATGATGAGAGCCCAGCTCTACCATGACGATAACTACAATGACAAGAGCCCAGCTCTACCACAATGATAACTACAATGATGAGAGCTCAGCTCTACCACAACAATAACTACAACGACAAGAGCCCAGCTCTACCACGATGATAACTACAACAAGAAGCCCAGTTCTACCACAACGACAACAACGACGACGGGAGCCCATGCCCACATACAAGGTTCCTACAATCAGCGATTATGATGACACCATGAGCCAAGACAATGATAGCAATAGCGCGCACCAGCGCCCCCAACAGGTCCTGCCTGATCCTGAGGTGTTTAGGGGAGACATCGCCTCCTACCAGAATTTCAAACACCTCCTAAAAGCGAAACTCTATGTGGACAGGCAAGCCTTGGGAGGCCCTTATGAGCGCCTTTGGTATGCATATGGACGATTGTCTGGCAATGCAGCTAGCCATATTCTCCCATGGATGATTGCCAATGCTGATTCCCCCACTGCAGTGAATGATGATACAGTCACAAAATTGTTTGAGCATCTTGATTTCAACTACATGGACAAGGAACTCCAGAGGAAAGCCATGTATAATCTCAGTGCATTGAAACAAGGCAGTAGAACTATCAATGAGCTGCTAGTGACCTTTGACCATTACTTGATGGAAGCTGGCCAACAGAACCAACTGGACAACATGAAGATTTTCTGGTTGGAGAATACCCTCAACAATGATATCTTCAACCGCCTTGTTAACACACCAACCTGCAATACTTTTAGTGAGTACTGTGTCCAACTCCAAAGTGTTTATGACAGGCACCAGAAGTACCAGCAATGTACTGCAGAACACTGATGCCTCCCAAATCAACAAGCATCCACACCTACATTCCCTCTCCCAACAGCCTCCCCTACAGCTGTCCCTGCTCAAGGTGACCCTATGGACTGGGAGCCTACTGTCTCTCATGCCTGCAACCCCCAATGCAAGCGGGCCCGCTGGGTCAGTAGAGAGGAAATTGAACACTGGAAACAAGATGGATGCTGCTTCCATTGTGGCTCTGCTGGCCACTGAATTGGCCAGTGTCCCTTTCTTCCTGCACAACACCCTACAACCAAGATTGCTGAAGTTACTGCAGAAAATGTTACCAATGCTGTTCTGGAAGATACTGAAACAGTTCCAGCACCTCAGGGAAAAGTCTAGCTCCTGTGCAAAGTCGTCTGCAGGAGTCAGAGATAGATCAGTTACAAGGGTATTGGCATACCTTCAACCAGAACATTTCCTTTAATGGTCCCCCATTGCTAGTGAGTTCTTTAATAAATGGAGAAAACAATTGTAAAGCACTGGCCAACTCTGGTTGTACAACATATGGTATTATATCTGAATGCTATGCCTCTCATCACCAACTACAGCGCATACCCATTTTCCCCTGAAGCATGTGAGGTTTTGATGGTCCATGAGATGGTCTAATCACAGAGGCTGCCTACTTTTCCATGGATGTGGGCGGTAACAAACAACAAGAAATGTATGCATATATTGTTCCTCACCTTGATGGTGAAGACCTGATACTTGGCCTACCATGGCTGTATCACCAAGGAGTCTCCATAATCACACACAGTCCCCTTGGTGTACCTGCCCTGTGCCTGCCCAATGGTGACCATATCCCTTCATTGCAACACAAACTGGAAATGGAAATTCACCAAAACAGCGCCCAATCCTTTAAGGTATGGATGAACCGCCATAAGAAGAATCATGATGTACAGATATTCACTGCCAGCTTGCAGGACATTGAGAAAGCACTAGAAGTCAAGCACCACTCTGACCCCAAGGTTAAGCTGCCTCAACAGTACCATGCCTGGTTAGAGGTATTTGAACAAAAGAAAGCTGATACCTTGCCGCCGCATCGCGGCCCGCATGTGGACCATAAGATTGACTTGATGGAATGAGATGAAAAAGGAAATACTCCTGAGCCGCCTTGGGGTCCTTTATACAATATGTCCCAGGGAGAGCTCCTTGTACTATGAAAGACCCTGCAAGAACTCCTGGATAAACAATTCATACATGTCAGCAACTCCCCTGCAGCTGCACCTGTCCTATTTGCCAAGAAACCTGGAGGTGGCCTACAATTCTGCTGTGACTACCAAGCCCTCAATGCAATCTCCAAGAAGGACTGTTACCCACTACCATTGATTAATGAAACATTAGAATGCATTGGAAAGGCTAAATGGTTCACCAAACTGGATGTCATTGCTGCCTTCCACAAGATCTGCATTACAAAGGGGCATGAATGGTTAACTGCATTCCACACATGTTTCAGTCTTTTTGAATGGTTGGTTACGCCTTTCAGCCTGGCTAATGCCCCAAGCACCTTTCAATGCTATGTGAACTGGGTCTTGCAAGAATTCCTTGATGAATTCGCATCAGCATACCTAGATGACATCCTAGTTTTCTCCTCAGGTTCTCTCCAAGATCACTGCACCAAAGTCTCAAAAGTCCTACAATGGCTCAAGGACGCGGGTCTCCAGTTAGATATTGACAAGTGTGAATTTGAAGTGCAATCCACCAAGTATCTAGGCTTCATAGTGGAAGCAGGTAGAGGTGTATGCATGGACCCAGCCAAAGTATCAGCTATTAAGGATTGGGCAGCCCCAACTACAGTATGAGGAGTGTGCTCTTTCCTTGGGTTTGCAAATTTCTACCAGAGATTCATACAGGACTTCACAGATATTACTGCACCACTCACAGCACTCACAAGGAAGGACATGAAGTTCATATGGGATTCTATTGCAGACAAGGCTTTCAATCAACTCAAGGGAATGTTTATAACTGCGCCCATCCTCATGCAGTTTGACCCAGACCGGGGCACTGTAGTGGAAGCTGATTCATCAGGCTGGGCCACTGGCGGCATACTGTCTCAATATGATGACAATGGTGTACTGCATCCATGCGCCTTCTTTTCATGAAAAAACTCACCTGCAGAATGCAATTATGAAATTCATGACAAGGAACTATTGGTGATCATTAACTGCCTCAAGGAATGGGAATCAGAGCTCACCAGCATGCTCAACTTCATCATTATCACTGATCACAAGAATCTTCACTATTTCATGCAACTGCAATGCCTCAATGAATGACAGATGCATTGGGCTGACATACTGAGTCAATATGATTTCTCCCTTCATTATCAACCTGGGAAACTTGCACTTGCCCCTGATGCCCTTTCTTGCCATGACCAGGACATGCCCAACAACCCAAATGATGAATGATTAAAGATGCAAGAGAAATGCCTCCTTGATTCAAGAGCATTCACCAAGGCAAATGGATTGGCTACCTCATGTGTCTCAGTGATACGCATCCAACCCATGGACATGAATGACCTGTCAACAGATGTCAATGGCCCTATAATAGATCTTGAAGAACATTGGTCCCAGGCTCAAGATAATGATCAAACCATGTCTGCACTGCATGATGCTATTCATGCAGGACTGCCCTGATTTCCCCCAGAATTAGGGATCCAAGTCTCCATCAGCAAATGCAAATTAGATGCCAATGGCCATATCCTCTTCCAGAAACGCTGTTGGGTCCCTGACAATGAACCCCTCTGTACAAGGATAATGCAAGACGCCCATGATTCACCAATATCCAGTCACCCAGGTAGCAATGCACTATACAGCCTACTTGCTCAACAACTCTTCTGGCCCAACATGAGCGCTGATGTCAAATGATTTGTCAAGAACTGTGATCAATGCAGAGCCACCAATATTTGGTGAGACTGATGACAAGGACTATTGAAGCTGCTACCCATCCCAGATCACAAATGGCATGAGCTTTCCATGGACTTCATAGAAGGCCTACCAGAGTCCAATGGGTGCCGCACTATCTTAGTAGTAGTTGACCGCCTCACCAAGGGCACTATACTGATTCCCTGTGAGAAAACAAAGACAGAGTATATCACACAGAAGCTCCTGCAACATGTTGTTGCATACCATGGTTTCCCAACTGCCATCACATCTGATCAAGGCTCACAATTTGTGAGTGAACTCTGGGAATGCATGTGTACTCTCCTGAAGATCAACTGATGACTATCCACTGCTTATCACCCCCAGACTGATGGGCAGACAGAACGCATGAATGCAGTTGTTGAAAGCTACCTCCACAACTTCTGCAACTTCACACAGGACAACTGGGCAGATACCCTACCTATGGCACAGCTTGCAATTGCCAACCAAACCGCAACTTCCACTGGTCTCAGCCCCTTTTTTCTTGATCATGACTTTCACCTTGAAACGCTCTTACTGGCAGAACCCTCTATTGACGAGCCCCAACCATCACCCACTGAGTCTGCAGGTGCGCGGATAGCTGATAAACTGAAAAATGCATTGGAGGTCACTCAAGCTAAATTAGCTGCAGCCCAAGAATGACAAGAACAATATGCCAACCACTACTGAAACCTTGCACCGCACTACAGGCCCAGTGATAAAGTATGGCTCACCCTACACAACATCTGAACGAACCGCCCTAGCAAGAAGCTCGACGTGCGCCAAGCCAAGTACACTGTGCTGGCTCAGGTCAGCCCACATGCCTATCAACTAAATACACCAGAGGGCATTCACCCTGTTTTTCATGTTGACCTCCTCCAACCTGCAGCGAATGACCCCTTCCCCAGCCAGTGCAACGACGACTGTCAGCCCCCAGCCATGCTTATTGACGGTGAAGAAGAATACCAAGTGGAACACATATTAGACTACCGCCAGATCCGCCGTGGACGAGGATTCCAACAACAATACCTGGTAAAATGGACTGGCTACCAGCACCCTGAATGGACTGCAGCACACAATATGGAGAATACCACTGCACTTGAGGACTGGGAACAGCATCACAAGGACCGGAGCCGTATAGAAGAGGAGCGAGATTCTTAGGAGGGGGGTATTGTCACAGGCTGCGCCTGTCGCATAAGCGATATGTCTAGTCAAGCGGAGAGGCTATCAGACGGAGAGGTTATC